GGTATTCCAAGCATATAGAACATTTGAATTGACATCGTTGCAGGCAATGACTATGATAAGCATGCCCGCATGCCAGAACGATGCCATTGCTTACATCGCTCATCTGATCGCAATATATGAAATCACATATAATAGACGTATCAGGTTTTCTGGAAGTAACAAAACCCCGAGGAAGATACCGATCTGTTATTTTGTAACCTAGAGAAGGCAGTTCATATGAGTTAATACAATCGGAAGACGTTTCAATAATCAACGGATACTGATGGCGTGTTTGATATATCTTTCCGAACGCCTCCAAAAGCCAATCCATCGTTACTTGTTCCTACTCTGAATCTAGATAATACGTAAGAGCAAATTTAATCTTTGTATTGTTCAATAAAGCAAGTAAGTAACAAATAAAACCCATTATTTTCTCCATACAATCCGTTGTCTGTTTGTTACGTTCGAATGGTCGAGCTGCTGAATAAAGAAGTTTTTTAAATCCGGTTCACTCGCTTCTAGTAAAGTTTGCATTTCGTCAAAAGTGTAAATGGGTCCTTCGTTCTTCACACATTCCCTTTCATAAAGAATTTTTGCCATCACCCTTATGGCATCAGCAAGTTCGAGCTTTAAAGTTTCCTCTTCTAAGAACCTCTTCTTAATATTAAGGGATTCTCTACAAAATTCATATAACATGCATTGCACAAAACAACTCCTTTCTCCCGCATTACCTTCACTAAGCCCTTACTCTCCATTTCTCACCATTCAACGAACGGAATTTATTGATTCAGTGGACTAACACTCTGTGCAATGCTTGTTCCCTGACATTTTCGCTAAGTAATATCCGTAAAGAGCTGTGTGATTCAAAGGGATTCACAGAATAATTACATTCTATGGTGCAAAAGCTTCAAGTTTGTTTGTCTTCAAAAAAAGTACTATAAAATGTATAAAAACCAATTCCAATGAATTGTGTAACAGTTTTCTTATTTGGGGAGTAATTGCGCCGCCGTGACCTGTTTAATTATCATATGGATAAAGAATATAAATCAAACACTCCATTCCACACCCAAGGATATGTTATTGATTCAGTTATCATTGACAATAAGCAAGCAGAATTGATCACATCAAAGATTGTGGAATCAACTAAGCGATGCGACTTCGGCAAATCAGAAGATTTCTATAAAGAAAGATGATGTTTATAAGCTTACCCTACTTTATAGGAACAGTAGAGATGGTAATACAGTTGGAAAATGTGCTCGATTTGTTGTAACTATTTCTAGAACTTGCAACTGCACAGACCATGTTACACAGGATTGACCACATGTCCATTGTTACCCTAATTCTGAATTTACTGGTTAGCAAGGCAAGAAAAGACACTATTTGTAAAGGACGTCGAAATAATGTTAGTAATTTCAAAGTCAGTGGACCGTTTAGCTAAAGAGTCATTGTACATATTCCCGCGACAACATCTGTATATAACTATGACGATATATGATATAAAATATACGCATAATTATGACTGCATAATAACTAAATAATGATGCAATAAAAGTGTAAACATATTACGACATAAATAAAACATACACTAAATGGTATCGTCTCACTATTACTCAATGATTACGATACTGCGAATTGTTATACTATTATCGCTAGCACAATTTCTGAACTCTGTACGCAAATGAATAACTTTATTGACTTGTCTTTGAGTCTCTCAACTCATTATGAAAAACTGTATGAAAGTGGCAAATATACCGACATTTCAATCCATGTCGGGAAGAAACCAAATAGCAAAATTTTTCTCGCTCATACCGTGGTATTATGTACAAGAAGCAAATTTCTTGAGAATAGCTTGACCAGGAATAAAGAGACGCCTGAAGAGACTCAGACTACCATAACGTTTGAAGATGTAGCACCTGATGTTTTCGAAATATTGCTCAGGTAAATTTTATAGAATAGTCAACGTTCATACACCGATGTCAATGCTGGTAATACTAATTGCAATCTTAACGATTTGTCGTAGATATATTTACACGGGGCGAATGTCCTGCAAGAATATAGGTTGGATTAGCCTTTTGGATGGAGCCAACAAGTTTGAACTAGTCGATCTCCTCACTGCAATTGAAACTTATTTGATTGATAAACAAAGTGAATGGATTCAACAGAATATTCTTACAGTTCACGAGTATGCTGCATCCACAATCTCTTTGAACAAACTCCTGGCCTACTGTGATCAAATCATGGTTTCCGACCCAGATATTATCTTTAAATCAAACGATCTTGCAACCTTGCCAAAGGAGACTTTGATTACTATTCTCAAGGGAGATGAGCTAAGCATGGATGAAGATGATATTTGGATGTCGGTCATACATTGGGCCATTAAACAAGTGCCTGAACTAGGACTTGGAACTGATCCTGATGGCTGGTCATCTAATGGCACTAACACAATTAAAGATGTCATTGCAGATTGTATTCCCCACACAAGATTTTTCAATATCTCTCCGCCCAAAATTGCTTTATATAATGATTTATTACCAAGTAAATTACGCCGTGATTTACTTACTTATCACATGGATAAAGAATATAAACCAAGCACTTGCATGCTATTACCAAGAACAAGGCAAGGATATGATATTGATTCAGTTATCATTGACAAAAAACAAGCAATATGGATCTCATCAAAGATTGTGGAATCAAAGCGGCTTCAAGAAAATCAAAGGATCTCTAAGCAAATTTATAAATTTGCTCTACTTTATAGACCAAGTAGAGATGGTAATACAGTTGCAAAATTTAGGGAATTGTGTAATGGCAAAGGACCCACAGTTTCTGTTGGGAAAGTGTTGGGTACTGAAGAAGTAGTTGGTGGATATAACCCATTTGCATGGAGATCTCAAAGTAGTCGGATTGCCACTAAAGAAAGTTTTATATTTGCATTAGATAAAAACACGGATAAGAATATAGTAAGTTTTGTTGGTGATAATAGTTCATCTGCTATTAATGATCATAGTGTTTATTTTCCTGTTTTTGGAGGTGGCTCTGATTTATATTTTGGGTATGGTGAGGATCGCCGAGGACATGCCAGAAAACATACATACCAACTTCCAATAAGACATGAATCAGGTTATTTTGACTGGGTTGATTGGGAGGTGTTTTTAGTTTCAAATTCTTGATCGGTTATAACAGTAGCTAGCAAAGAGCAGAGAATAGTAGACTTTAGTATTATTCCAGAAGCTATGCTCCGTTTATGGTTACGTTTCGATCAACAGATAAGTAAGATCTATTATCTTGGTTCGCATTTATTTAGTATTCAAAACGAATCGTACGCGAATAAAGAAACTACATTCTCGAAAAAATGCAAGATAATAAACCTGCATGGCTTACCGGTAATTTGTCTTTTTATATTATCAAAAAGGGTAAAAGACGACTATTGTTATCAGTCAATGGTTTAGGCGCATTTTTTTTATGCTTTTTCATTTTGTGTTTTCTTAGTTTAAAAGTTGATGCTAATACTCGCTTATTAGGTTAGATTTACTTTGTTTTTCTTGGTAACCTTTTTCTTATCCAAATATTGTTTAAGGATACCGCAGGAGTTTGTCTTAAATAACAAACTATGTAGGAAGTTAACCCAATTAACATCGCATAAATAATATATTGTGGCAGAGGATTTTATGATATGTAATAGCGTTGTCACCCAAGATGTTCGATATCACAGGGCTAATTATTACAGTATTAAATATTTGCAAGTGCAAATTCTTTGCATAACTATACGTTTACACAACAGAAAGTAAGACGCGACTGTTTGAAGATACAGTAAACATATTATTCTTATTGTCAGCTGTTTTTGAGTATACTTAGTATTAGTCTTCTTTAAAAATAAATTTCTGGTGGCGAATCAAATCAGTATTAGTACTATTTTTGTATTGAGCATTATTCATTACCTAACCATAAAAAGCAACGTTACCCTTAAACTGCTGGCCATTGCCTGCAATTTTGCCCCCCCCCCCCCCTTTTTGACTATGTCACTCTGGGGTCCGTACTATAACATCGACAATTACTTCGCAGACTTTATATTTCGCAGACAACCATTTCACCGACATTTCAGCGACAATCATTTCGCCGACAGCTGATATCACCGACAATCATTTTACCGACAGGATTTCATCGGCAGGACAGTCATTTCACCGACAATGATTTTGTTGTATAATTAACATTGCGAATATTTAATCTACATATTATTCCAAATTGACATGTATGTATACTAATGTTAGCACCCTTATACTTTTTAGTCGAACAGTCAGTCGCACAAATTCTGCTTTTCAGTAAAGACTAAGCTCTGTTTATTTTTTTGTACACTGATCTGCTCATGCTTTAGGAAGGCGCTAACTATATTTCGTATTTTTCTATGTGCAAAGTCCGGCTGTTTTCATATAGATCTATATCTATAGAACAAGAACTAAAACTCGAACAAGAACTAGAACTAGAACTAGAACTAGAACTAGAACTAGAACTAAAACTTGAACTAGAACTAGAACTTGATCATATTCTTTTTAAAAAAAATTTTTTTTTATCTTGTGTATCGTTGCTCTAATAACACATAACAATATATTTTCTTGTTTAATTAATTTCATTCAAAATTTTTGCTTTTTCTAACTAACGCTTTGATATTTGTTGAAACGTCTGCGCTTTATATTATCATTTAACTTATTCGTGCGATTTTCCATGTTTTGCATCGTATACCGTATATTATCGTGAATAAGCACCCCTCGATCATATGAAAATGATCGGCAAACCGTCACGTAAATAACAACTTAAGGGGTTGGTTTATAGTAATTATAATCACATCATTATGTAATAAACTGTTAATTAGGGGTACGTTGTGCGGGTAATCGTGTAATCATGGGGGTGGGTGTGCTTATTCACGAACGATAATATACGGTATATGAAATATAAACCAAATTTGTTGCAATGCAATTTTCGTATGTACCGTTTTATTATTGTAAACATGATTACTTGTTCGATTAAAAATGGCCCTTGAGATCTGTTACCATAATGTATATGGGATGATCACTTGCTTCGATGTTATTATTTTTATTCCATAACATAAAATACAGTACAGATGAACGACTTTTTTAGTTCGCTATGTATTAATTAATTAATTAATTGACTGATGAATCCTATTGTTTGTGATCCAAAAAAATTCTGCCTGTCACACATATCTTGTTCCAACTTGACACTTTTAACTAATGAAGGAAATTTTCTTCCATCCATTTGCTTGACCAAAATATTAATATGAAGGGTGTGTTATCAGCACAACATTTTCGTGGCTTGCGATATACGCATGTGTCCATTTAATATATGATTCAAGCAACAACAACAATATGTTATTTATATTAACGAGCAGAGTCGACTCAAAAAACCATCGTCTTCCAGGCTACCTGTCACGAATATAATGCCGCTACTATCGTCACCAAAACAGTAGAGGATAAATTGTTTCCGTTGTGGAACTTCTTATTATCAAGACTATAAATGACGTATACATTTATTGTTGACTTTGTATTGTGTATCATAATTCCAGATCTTAAGGTCGGATTATACTTGCATATATGTTTCACCGCATGACTTTGTGTACGATGTATGTAATAAAATAATACTGTACAGATAAACAACTTGCTTCAAAAGTTTAGTTCGCTGTACCTCCTAAAGGCCCACCATAAAAACTTTGGTTCTTACCGATGCACACATAACATTTTGTAATAATAACCTTGATATAAAGCATGAGAAAAATTCTATGTACAATCAGTGAAACTGATACATGCGAATAAACCTCTATTATATTACTAAATTCAACACTTCTACGGAGTAAAACCTCTGAATCCCATTACCCGATAACGCTCTTTTCAGAAAGAATGAATTGATCCTGTTGTTCACCAAAAGCTCAACCTGAGGAAATTTTACAAAAAATAAGTTCATGCTTTTACTATAATAATACTGCATCACATATTTCAAACCGGTCACTAAAACATTAAAAAGAAAGTTGATTGCTGTGGTGGTTTGGACATATGAAAGCGTCAATAATACAAATTTTGCTCATATACACGTAATACGCATCGCATAATGTTTATCAATTTAATTGGCTGATAATGTTTAGATCTCGACTATCGCTACTTCCTATTTTAAAAACCGACATACAGTAATTGTTTGCGGACGGATAGAATCTCTAAAATACACATATGTCGGTTTGTTGTTTCAACGCATGGTTTTGTATTGTTTGAGACGACAACAACATTAATAGTGGGGCAAGGGTATCTTGCTTGCTTTACATACACCTTTTCATACGTTTAGTATAGGCAGTGGGAGAATGCAATGAAAAGCAACGTTTCAAATAATGTTTATTATGCAAACTTAAACGAGTGAACATCGAGGTAAATTACGCGTATAATCATAAACATGCTGTACATTTACTTTATCGATTGTCGTGATACTAGTACCATGATTTTCAATCATACTTCAGTAATAGTAAATGTTCATTTCGATACTTAAACTGCTTGAAGTCAATTATTTTTACTCCACTTGCTCTAATATAGTTGTAGCAGTCCATAATTGCCATTCCAGTTTAATAGGCGCCTCTTCTAAAAATGCCTTGTTGATTGTTTGAGGATGCAAACCTCCCATAGCTTTTACTAGCATCTCTAATGACACACGGAATTACCTTCATGTTCAAGAATGTACTTGAGGGCGTAAAAATTCTCTGGATACTGTGTCATTAGCAATTTTTTTGTTTGCGCATCTGCTGGGGCATGTCCTTGTTCAATCAGCTTGCGTATAAGTTTAGGAGACTGTCTTGGTTGGTGAAGGTTGAGTTTTTGGTTTCCTATAATATAAATGCAACAGTTAACGCTTAGTGATAGAATACATATTGATAAAGTATTTTGTTCTATACCTCGTGTGCCATTGCAAGAATAATCACTTTAGTTGCTCACTTAACAACGGACTGCAGATATAAGTGAAGTGCTAGTTTCCGATTGGTTAAAGTCAATTACCTATAACCATCAATTGCAAGTACGTGACTTTGTTATTGTGACACAATTATTTAAACAACTACTATCGCGAGGGACTTTATTCAATATTTAAACAACTACCCTAGTGTCGCCATCAAAATTTCGTAGGTGCGTGTGATTTTATTATTGTGACACGACTATATTCCAACCGGGAACTTGTTTACTGCAAATTTCGCGTTTCCCTATATAGACAAAGAGTGCTACAGTGACACCTCCATAAGTGCACGCCCTTGGAATTCAGAGAGTGTGCACTTATAGAATAACGAATAGAAAACCAGACAGTGCTACACTTTAGTAACTACTATTATCGAAATTTCCGAATTTAGCGATCACTTTCTAAATCAAGCCATACTTTAAAAAAAATATGTATTAATATTAATTTGGCGCATTAAATTTGTTCAATACTCCGTAACAATTCTCTGCATACAATTATTTATTGTACTATTGTGCATTTATTTCTTTATCTCTTGTTCTATTACTAAACTCTGATTAAATTTTCGAGTAATTATACCATTTTAAGAAACATTTATGTCCATATTGTTTCATAAATACACTAACATTGCGCTATTGTGTTGTGTATTTATATTTATTGATTGGAATCGCGACGATTTAATTGGCTGACTTTTTGAAATTTCACGTGTGTGTAGAATACATTTAGCACTAAGTCCAAAGCTTGGGGAAGATACCATATTTGGTAAGTGTTTGTAACATTTGGGTTAAAGCACAACATTTTCATGGGTGTTGTCTTGTAATCTCTAATAAACACACAAAACTATATGGTATAGTTGCATCATATATACATTTTCTCCTTGTTGACGACGAAAAGATCATATCCAAAACAAACGAAATCTGAGGATTTATTCATTTATATGTATAATTCTTCACTCAAGGATACTCCCTTACCAAGTGAATCTCCCAATGTACGCACGTATGTTCTCTACCCCCTGCTCCATCATCAACCTGTGCAACTTAATAGCGAAATCAACAAAACCGAAGAGAGAAATCATCGTGAGGTGTTCGTTATCGATGATAATAGTTTATCAATTCAATCTTTTGAGGTTGTTGATTCATCAGCTGTCAGTAAAGAAAAGAGGAGCGTATGAATGGTAATCACTAGTATTAGTATCATCAGCAAATTGATCGTTACATGAGTTTATTCGAAAGCGACAGAAAGTAATGAAACTGACTTCTTGAAATAATGAATAATCATTACATGGCTTTCAACACTGCTAAGTCCCCCAGCCAGAAGGCAAGCATATGGCAAGCAATTTGACAAGTCCTATCCGAATAGAAGCGAAAAGGCGATACGTAAAAGGTATCAGTTTTATAACGTATATCTGTGTGTATATCAGTATGTCGTCGGTTAGTGGAAAAACTTCTGATCGTATATAAAAAGACATAAGAATAATAATTGGCAAACTTTGCAGAGTAATAGAGGTTGAATATCAAGAAGAAATTTACCGATAATCCAGTTTTCAATGAAATGTATGATTCCACTAATAGAAGAGGAGTTATCATTGATATTTCAGAAAGATGTGCAAAAAAGAAAGGGGACAAAAGAAGAGAAACTTTGGAGTTAATTGCAGAGTTGCATGAGCGGAATAGGCAAGAGAATCGAGAAGTTCAAAGCCGTCTGTTACCAATTTTAGAAAAATTTCCGGCTTCAAGTTAAAAATTGAATGTCTGTAGGTTTCATGTGTGACGTTTATTAAAATTATTCATCCCTTGTTAGTCTTTGCCATGCAATCTTTAAATGGCACAAGTAGCCAGGAAACGCAGTCACCCAGTATATGCGTAGTGTCTGGAAACCGCCGGGCCGAATTCGTTCATTATTTGGTGTGACCATGCAATCAATTTTGTCTTGATACTTGCATTTATTACTTCCCTCCTCCAATTACATGGGTATACGTCTCGAAATTCAGGTAGAGCGAAACCTTCAATTACTTCTTTTAATATCTGATCTGCGGGCCAATTTATTATATGTCGCAGTCGCAAGTTGTGTAAAATTGCAGCACAAAACCTCTTCGTGAAATTTTGCGCAGACCATTGGATTTGCGATACAATAATAGCAGCATGGATTTCGATTGGAGTTTGTTATTTAAACGCAGACTATAAGTAGAAGACGCCACGCTCCGTTCAAAGTAACCAAATTCCTAGTGCCGACAATTGACTGCTTTCCCGCAGTTGTTGGTACGATAATATAATGAATCATTTGAAGCCGCTTCGTAATTAAATCTCTGTGGTAATGTTCTTTAGGGGCTTGTTTTCAAGGCAAGGCTGAGTAGTAGTGGATAGATACTATGCGATTGGAAACGTATTTTGCACAAGAGAAAATGTCAATGCCACAATAAAACAAAATTTGCTTATATAATATTGATTAATCACCTGTACAATCCTCTACCAGGAATGGTTGATTTTGTCCCTTTTGTTCCCAGCAGTTCCGTAGCCAATCTTTCTATTAGCCGACATTGTTCTTGTTTTCGATCTCAAACTATTGCACTTTCTATTTTGAAAGCTATATATACTTGTTTGCAGAGGGAATAGAATCTCTAAAATACACGTATGTTGGCTTGTTGCTTCGATACATGGTTTGGTACTGTTTGAGACGATGGCATCTATTTTCGACTACAATGAATAGTATTGGGGAGAGGTATCTCACTTTTTTTTTATATAGAATTCTATACTCGTATATTTTTTTATACGTTAGTGTAGTTTGTGTTTACGTTATCAAGTGTCGACAAGATGCAACGTTTTAAATAATGTTATTATGCAAACTAAACATAACACGTATAAAAATAAATATGCTGTACGTGTATTTTATTGATTGCCGTGATACTAGTACTGTGGCTCATACTAATACTCTAGTAAATGTTTATTTCGATACATAAATTGGTAATGGTCAATTGTTTTTACTCCGTTTAAAAGTGTTTTAATTTTCAAGTTATTTTGCATAGTTTGTAATTTTTCTTCCGAATATAAACAAACCCAATAAAGATGGATCCATGTCTGTGTAATACAGTTAAGTTAGAATAAAGTGAACATATATTTACATAAGTCAATGAATAAATAAACCATACTTACATATACATTAATATCGAATTCTAAAATAACGTCATCTTCAGACAAAACATTAACCACACGTGGTAAAATGTATTCAACATCGCTGTCTATATATTCAATATCTATCTTATATTGTATTTCTTCAGTTGACGTCTTTATCTACAAAATCAATTTTATATTTACCATACTATATACGATACAACAAAGACCGAACCAATAATAATAATTCTGATTGAATACGTACTACAATCGTTATTGTAAACTTCCCATAATTGTACAACAAAATGCTGAGTTTGTATTTATTTGGAGGTACTTGGAATATGGGTATTGTTAACTAATATATAATTATTTATTAGTTAAATATTCACAACATTATACAAACATTAGACTACTATATTGATAACAAACCACTTACTTTATTAGATTCATCAAGGTACAAAGAATAACTATTAAACAATTGATGTTAGTAATAATAATATTATAAATATAAATGAATAGTTAGTAAAGTTACTTACTCCAACCCAGCAAAAAAATTATTGATTTTTTCAATATGACTTTCAAATACAAAATGTGCTTTTAGATGACCTGATAGTAATAATAATTTAGTATGTATAATAATATGTAAAATTATGCAATCAAGTGTAACCTCTTACTTTTATGCATATAATAAACTTTTTCAAAAAACCCTTTGTATTCTCGTAATTACGTGGAACATTGCTATACTTGTGATACCAAGTTACAGCAGCAGTGTACCATCTGGTGTAATCATCTCTTCCATACTGATGGTTACACGGTGATTTCCATCGATCAATGTCATTTAATTTGCACATTGCTTCAGCAGGGTGACTATCCACAAGGAGCGTAAACCATTTCATATCAAAGTGCTCACGTTTGTTTACAAATTCATAAATTACATCAAATGTATTTTCTTGGTTATGACGTTCATAAGCAGTTTTCTTCATCTTTTGTTCAGCTTTTTCCTTATTTTGAAGACTCACATACGTTTTTAAACTCAAGTACCAAGTATTGTCATAAATATTATTTACTTCAATTGCTGTCTCAATATCAAACAGAGCTTTTTGAAAATTCCCCATTTTTAGCTTGATCAATGCTCTATTATATAGAGCTATATAGTTTGTGGGATAAGCTTGTAATATCCGTGAGTATATGTTTAAAGCGTCTTCCAATTTACCGTTTGAATATGCAATTTTAGCCTTTTGAAGCAATTTGTTTACATTTAGTGCTGTTATTGTTTTCCAGATTGTGTTCAAAGTAAAACCAGAATCATACTTTCTCCTTCTACTCTTTTTCTTTTGCTTTTTAAGATTATTATGCCAATCAAATACTTCTGTAACTGTATTGTTTTCAACAGTTGAATTGTAAATATCTTGATCATCTGTAATGTAATGCTGAATGTTATTGTATACTGTCTGCTGTGGTAAATAATACACACTGTTCTTTTTAATTTCAGTTCTACA